ATGCCGCCGTTACGAAAAACATTCTGCATTATTCCGGCGAAGGTTCTTTTTCGAGCCGACGACCGGTGCGCTCAGAAATGAGTTCAGTGCACGAAAATAAAATTGCGCGCGAATAAAGATTTCTGTCAATGACGAGCGTTTCTATATTAATCCGTGTCAACTTTATAATCAGATGTGCAATTTCTCCGATTTTAAATTTAAGAAAAACGATAGTAGATATATATGTCTGTAAAACCGTTCGATATCGCGTTGTTTCTCGCGTGAATTCGGGAACAAGAAACTGTTTCGCTTCGCGCCGAAACTTGGCACCGACCAAGTTGCTTACCAAACAGCTTCGCGCCAACGCGACGTTGCCTTCAAGATGAAGCGCAGGAAGAATATTTCATGTTTTACGGCGCCGGCGTCGTTGGGGTTTTCGCCGGATAAAAAAGTGTCAGCCCGCTGGCTAAATCAGTGCGCCCCCGAGTGCATTAAACTCCGAATTACCACAAATAGAACTTTAACCGCACATGCCCATTATAATGGGCACCCCCTGCTGAAGATGTATTTACGTACTAAACCGCCTTCGTGGCTCATGCTGAGTCGTCGGAATTAACATCTGGCCCAAAACCGTGCTTGCACGGTTCATTGGATCCTTTTTTCTCGTTTTTATAAGAGCGCGCCACCGTATTCCACTCCGGAGAAGTGCTCGCCGATCGCAAGAGAAATGCTCATTACCGCTCTATCGCGCGCCAAAATTCTTTTCTTTCATTTCATTATTTATTAAAAAATAAATTGAAATTCTTATACATATATAGGAACCAGGGAGGGAAGAGAGTGTAATATATTTTTTTTTTAAGTATGCGAATCGACGGGATGAGAAAACAGTTTTATTCGAGACATTAGGATCTTCTTAACTCGGATGATATCTCTCTCCTCTGTTGGAAAAGAAAATACTCGTTGCGTGTTGGAGACAAAACGATTTTGTGAGTAGTTTTACATGCAAATTAGATCTATTAAAATATCAGAATACAGCCTTATCCAGCGTGTAAAAACACGGGCGTTGGGACAACTCTCTCCAAGCTTCAAATCGTAAGCCGCCCCGGGCTATTATGTACGTGTGCGTGCTTCTTCATGAATTATTAGAATTAATGAGTTCGCACATACATATTGCTTTCTTCCACAATGTTGCGAAGACTAATCATAAATATGCCGAGGGGAAATTTTGAAATAACAAAGGGCTCGCCTTTCGCTGCTTTATTACGGCGCTGAAATTATTAAGTTGCTAATGTATTTCATGCAAATCGTATGATTTTTTTCTTTCAAGATTTTTAAGCTCGTGCGTACAAATCGTTTCGCATACAAATAAAAAAGTTGAAAGAACATTTGCAAAAAAAAAAAAAAATAGCTCTGTTTCTCTTTGCGACGCGTATGCAGAGGCAAAAAGAGAGAGTCGAAAGAAATTTTCTGAAATGTACTTTCAGTGCGCAAGAAGCAAATAACCGTTACCATTGAGTGAAGAACGAATAGATATAGCGAATAAGTGTGTAGCGCGCATCTCACCGCCTGACACATCGAGTCTACAACGAAAAACTTTCTTACTCGGAACGATTTTCAGTTCGGATCGATAATCGATGAAGATTCTCGGACGCGGGTGTAAAGCAAGAGAGAAAGAGAGAGAGAGAGAGAGAGAGAGAGAGTTGGAAGTGGGTAAGTTGTAGAGAGAACGAAATGTTATCGTGCGCGCTGGATCGTCGGCGGGGACTGGGGATCAGGCGAAGGGAAGGTCTTGAATGGGGACGCCAACGAAGGAGAGAAGGTGGTGAGAATAAGAGGAAAGAGAACAAAAGAAAAAGAGAGAAAGAAGAAAAACGCGATGAAAAGATGTAAGAAGAGAGACGGTCGATTTGTTTTCTTGACCTCGACAACAAAAACATAGTGTATTGCGGTGATAACCAACTAATTTGTTCGAATTAATTTGTAACAAAGAAAGCTCGCGTGTCCGTGCTGTTTTTTCTTTTTCTGTAATAACACGCGTCTAATAGTTGTTAGTTTAACATACGCAATAATAAAAAAACATTTCTTCTCAACCGATTTCTTAAAATCGACTAAGACAGAATATATTATTTTCTAAGTAATATATATATATATATATTAATTTACATGTATACGCACGTAATATGTAAAAATACTACTTTACTAAATCGGCGTTGTTCAGCCGAGACGGAACACCTCGCTTTCTTTTGTGCCGTTTCCAAAGCGTCTACCCCAACGATATCGCGAGTCAAGTGTTTCCTTTGGGATTTTATGCTTTCAGCTCTCTGCGTCTGTTCCGCGACGACTCGCTCGCTCACTCAACTTCGACCGTCTCGCTTCTGCCTACGATGGCTGAAATTCAGCCGGTCTCTCTCTTCCTTCCTCCCTTCCGTCTCTCCTCTCCAACCCTCTCCTCTTTCAACCGACCCTCGGTGTTCCCGAGGCGGCAAGCAAAGAACTCTCCTACCCTCGGGCAGCTCATTTTCCACCCTCGTCACCCTTCCCGTCCACCACCGTCACCCCCTCTTCCTCTACCTCCGCCTCCTCTCCATCCCCAGTACTCACGCCGTCACTCGTAGTCACGCCGCCAACACGTGCTCCTGTTTACCTCTCCGGTCATATGGTTTGGGAGATAACGCACAACGTCGCCTTTTAATCACGAATATATTCCCCGCTGTATATTTCTATCCCAATCGAAAAAAGAAGTCCGCGAGTGTACATAGATGCATTTATACCTTTTTTTTTTTTTTTTTTTTTATCACTCGTGCAACGTTAGAGTATAACTTGTGGGCTTTAAATAAAAAATTACTCCGGAGAACTTCAACTGAGAATATGAGATGCAAATGTGAGATACATAAGTAATAGAACGATACGTCTGCAAACTCAGAATTATTGAGATTATTACTTATGAGCCATTATCAGGTCAATTATTGGTTTTTATTTCGAGAAGTTTGATGCTAATTTTTATCTCACTTAATTTAGCATACTTGACACCGAGCTCTGCTTGATTCGCCGACATAAATCAGATCGTTTCTCGCTTTATATATGTTACACTATTTTCTTCGCATTTATTACTAAATCGTGCTGTTTAAGAAACATAAATGAGAAGTATAAATAAATGATCCAAACAGGCGCGATCTCGAAAAACAAATCATTAACCAATGAATTAATTAACGGAAAAAGCAATTTTTGACTCATTTATATATATATATATATATATATATCTATTTCAAAAGATAAAAATTTCAGCTCGTTAATTATATATTAGAAGTTACGTAATAAGTTTTGTTTTTTAAATTGTTTTTTTGATAAAGAAAATACAAAAAATAACATATATAAAAAATAGAGTAATTACAGCAAATAAAATATTTCTAAAACTAGACCAACGTTATATTACTCTTGGTAATTTATAATAATTACGCGCGCGCGCGCGTGTGTGTGTGTATATAGTGCCTGTATATCTATTGCGATTCTTATCTAATATAATATCCGCGCGGAGTTGATTTCTCGCGTAATCGAAACTTGTACAAAAGGCAAAGAAGATTAAGAATCCCGCATAACCGCATTTGAGTTTACATGCTCGGCCGATTCTTAATTAGCATTTCCAGGTCACATACTCGACGTACACAGTTTGTCCGGAAAGTTCCCGGACTGATTTTTTCTAGCGCGGGTAAGCGGCGCTATCGAGCGGTCAACGCTGGAACTACTTAGTATA